AGAGAGAGAGAGAGAGAGAGAGAGAGAGAGAGAGAGAGAGAGAGAGAGAGAATGCTCCAGAGATTGTGTGTGTGCTCCAGAAACCATCTGACAGCAACACCTCTTGTTCACAGCGGTGCGTCTTCTGGGACTTGTGCTCGGAGGAAGCGTGTGCTCCAGCAAATAGCTCCAGTGCAATCCCTCCATCTGACTGACAGGTAAGGCCCGCCCGTACCCCGCCCCCCCAGGGCAGTCACTGCCAAAGAACCTGTCGGTCCCCTCTCCGTTCCCCCAAGGCTGCTCAGGAACAGCAGGCTTCTCACGCCTCCACCGGTGTCAACTCCCAGGGGGAACTCACTCAGAGAAGGGGCTCTGGTGAAGAGACCACCCCTCCCCAGGTCCACAGGCTCAGAGGGAAAGCTAGGGGGACTTGGCAGCAGGTCCTGGACTCAGCTTCGCCATCTCACCCTGCCAGTCCTTGAGGGAGGCTGGTAGATGCCTGAGAGCCAAACCTCTGTCCACTCGGAGGCAAGAGTCTCTGAGGACCTGCCAAGTCTGCTGTCCTTTGCCGAGGTCTGTTCCTTCCTCGGCCATTCTCTCTTTACCCCTGTCCCTGCCCATCCTGCCTCCTGCCCTGGGGCTGTCAGGGTCCCAGCTCAGCCTCTGGACTGGCCCAGCTGCTTCCCCCATGGAAGAGAGAGAGGGAGAAGCGGCGCCCTGGGCCCGATGGCCTGGCTCCTGGTCCTTGCTGGTACGGAGCTGAGACTTTGGGCAAACTCCTTCGTCTCTCTGGGCCTCAGTTTACTCCTAGCGGGCTGACCCGCTTAGCCCAGTGCCTGGTACCATTGGTGTGGGCCACTGAACCAATCCAACCTCTGCCACGGAGTCGCTTCTGACTCATCGTGACCCTATAGGTCCCTATGCCCCTATATGACCCCGTAGAGAAATGTCCCTAAGGGTTTCTGAGATGGTACTCTTCACAGGAATGGCTGGGGATGAACCACTAGCTGTTCAGTCAGCAGCCAATGCTCAGCACCCACCACAGGCACACCTATGGGCAACTTGGGGTCTGCATCATCAGGGGAAAACCAGGCTGCTGCCCCTGCCCCAGGCCAGGGCTTGACACCCACAAACGTGGCTCCTTGGCCTCTTCCTCGCTCACCTGGCCAGAGCTCCTTATGAGCAGCGCCTGGGTCTCACCTGCTGGCATAGTGGTTACACACTGGGCTGCTCACCAAAAGGGCAGCAGTTTGAAACCACCAGCCTCTCCCCGGGAGAAAGACAGAAGGACCGGGCTGACTATGCCCGTGTTGAGTTACAGTTTCGAGAACTCACAGAGGGGGTTCGACCCTGTCCTGCTGGGTCAGGGTCACTCACAATGAGTCAGCATCGATGTGATGGCAGTGAGTTTGGTTTGGGTTTGGGGGCAAAGCCGTCCCAGGCACCCTCAGCCACTCCTCTGTGAAGTCCGGCCTACCCCACCCGGGGGAAGGACTTCCTCTCCCTGTGCCCTCAGGGCCCCAGGGGGAGGAATACCCACTGCCAAGGGGCTGGCACGGAGTTCTGGTAGTGCAATGGCTGAGTGCCCAGCTCCCAATGGAAGATCGGCGGTTCGAACCCGCCCAGTGACTCTGAGAGAAACCCGGATGACAGCCCAGGGAAGCCACAGGACACTCCCACTCTGTCCCTCCCGGGGTCGCTGTGAGTGGGAACCAGCTTGACTGCATCCCGCAGGGGCCGGCCCTCAGAACAGCGAGAGGAAGCCATGCAGATGAGCCGCCCACATCTGTCACCCACATCTGTCACGGCGCGGCGAGTCGGCTCCGGCCCATAGCGACCCCACACACAACTGGAGGAAACCCTGCCGGGCCGGTGCCGTCCTCCCAGCTGTGCCCATGCCTGAGCCCATCGACGCTGCCCCTGTGTCCATCCATCTTGTTGGGACTCCCTCTTTCTCACTGCCCTTCCACTTCACCGTGCATGATGTCCTTCTCCAGGGAACTGGCCTCTCCTGATGGCATGTCTGAAGGACGTGAGGCCGAGTTCGCCCTCCTTGCCTCTCAGGAACACTCTGTCTGGACTTCTTCCAAGGCAGACCTGTTTGCTCTCTTGGCATTCTGTGGAACTTTCCACGTCCTTCTCCAGCACCGCATTCAGATGCAGCAGTTCTTACTGTGTGTGGCCCACCACTGGTCTGTCGTTGGTCGTCCTGTGGTATGGAAAAGGGTTTTATGAGCACTGCCACACACAGTAGGTGCTCATAAAGCCCTTTGCAGGCTGATAGCAACCCTGCAGGATAGGGTCGAACTACCCAGGCGGGTTTGCAGACAGACTGCCACTCTCTCCGTTAGCAGTCTAACACTTGAGCTCTGCTTCACCAGGGCCCCTTCAGTGCCCATAGTAGGCACCATTCATTGGCAGCCTCTCCTCCCTCAGCCAACCCAGTATTTCCTCTTAACCTATAGCCCCGCCCCTTGACGGTCCTGCCTGACCCTGGACACGTGAGCACCACAGCCTTGCAGACGGCCCCTTCCCGGGCTTCTCTGTAAGCGTGCAGGCAGGAGAGTTGCCCAAGAATGGCTTCTGCAGGGCTCAGGCCACTGGCCGATTCAGCGTATCACATGCATACTTCTGGTGGAGCCGGGGCTGGGCGGGCCCTGGAGGAGGTCCAGCCCCGCTGAAACAAAGCAGGGCCCTGTTGGCAAGGCAGCCTTGCCAGGCCACCCTGCCCAGCTCTGCCCACCCTGAAGAGTTGCTGGGGGCTGCTGGGTGCAGTGTTGGGGGCCCAGGAGGAGCGATGGCTCCATGCATCTTGGGGCGGCCACATGCAGGCCAGCCTGGATTTGGGACTCTCGCCTCGGGCTCTTTTGGCATGCCTTGTTTTCTCCTCTCCATGGACGCTCTAGGAGGGCCCTGGGGGAGTTGCCTGGACTCTACGTTTCCCTCCTGACTCACTACCATCTCTGCTGTCCCCAGACCCTTGTCTTGGCCCCTGGTTGACACAAAGGGCCCTTTAGCACCTCCCCCCATCCCCCTTGTCGTATGGGAATCTCTCATGGGATTTGTTCGGATGTTGCTTACATGCCCCCTGTGACTGGGAACTCACTCCCACTCAGGCAGCCTTTGCCTTCACCTTGAGCTCACATCTGACCCACCAGGAAGCATCCAAGGAAAGCCTCTGGCAGACCCGTAAGGGCGGCGATGGCACTTTAAGAGGTAGTGGCTCTCCCCACCCCTGCCTGCTATGGGACAGCCACTGTGTGTTCCTGCTGACAAGTGTGGTTGAGAGGTCAGTGTTGAGACCCTGACCAGCCCTGGGGGGTGAACAGATGTGCACACAGTAAGCTGTGTTTTGCATGAATGGGGCGGGGGGTTGCCTTTCAGCCCTGTGGTGGAGCCCAGGCCTTGGGCTCGCTCACCTTCCCCTCTGCTCTGTGGCCTGCCTCTCCCCTCCTCTCACCACACTGGGCAGTGGGAACCGGACTGGGCCTGGTGCCCCTGAACCCAGCTCTGCCCATGCAGCTGTCCTGGGCCAGCTGCCTGAGCCCAGCTGCCCGGAGCAGGCCTCCCTTGTCCCCAGGGCCTTCGTCCCAGCCTGTTTCTCTTTGGTTGTCTGGCTTGTTTCCAGTATTCGTTTCCCTCCCCTCCCCCGGCTGGACTCCTTGGGCGTGCTGTGTCTCTTATCTGACGTTCTCATCCAGGGTGGCTGTGGAAACCTGGGACCCACCTGCCGGTCGAGTCTGAGGACACGAGATACGTGCATACATCTACATAGGACTTCAACTCGAGGGCTTTCCCGGGGTCGCTGAACCTCAGAAATGATTTGTAACAATATTACCTATGTGTAAATGCTCTGGGGCCATTGCTGACGCCCCGCTAAGGTTAATAGCAGTGATCAGTAGCATGGACTCGTATGTTGCATGTGAAATAGTGTGGTCAGAGACGTTTTCTGCAATATGAACTATTGCCGTTGAGTTGAAGCTGACTCATGGTGACCCTGCAGGACAGTGTCCAGCTGCCCCAGTGGGTTTCCAAGGCAGTAGTCGCTCTGGAAGCCGACTGTGCCCCTTTCCCCCACTGAGGGGCTGGTGGCCGCAAACCACCACCATTCTGCTGGCAGCTGAGCGCTGTGAGCACGCCCCCACCAGGCTCCTTCTGGGGCACATGGCGGCTTCCTAGCACATTGTCCAAAGGGAAAACCAGGCCGCCAGGCACTGCACACAGTGTGAGTCCAGTTCTACTTAAAGCCATTTGTTACACACACACACACACACACACACACACACACACGCACACTCGCGTGCACCCACCCCACACAACTAGACACACATATATACATCGAGACATACACACATCCACTCAACTACACACACATATATACACTCAAGTAGACACACACAGATATATCCAGACATACACACTCAGCTAGATGCACACACACACAGACACACACATACACAGACACACAAATACACATACACACACACTCAACTAGACACACACATCCAGATATATACATGCAGCTAGATGCACATGCACACACAGACACAGACACACACACTCAACTAGACACAGACACACACACATGCACATACACACACTCAACTAGACACAGACACACACAACATGCACATACACACACACACTCAACTAGACAGACACACACTCAACTAGACACAGACACACACACATGCATATACACATGCACAGACACACACACGCTCAACTAGACACACACACACTCAACTAGACACAGACACACACACATATACACAGACACACACGGCCAAGACACACACCCAGGCACACACAGGAAGTATAGCTACTAAAATGGCCACCCTTTGAATCTCTGAGGTGGGTGAAGTGAGGGGGGATTTGTGTTTCTCTGTATTTGTTGAAAGTATTATGAAGGCCGGGCCGGGGCCCCTGGGCCTGTTTGCGTAGAGAAACCAGAGCCCTGGTTCTGGGCGGGCCATCAGCCTCCGCCCCTTGGGCCCGGAGGAGGGCCGTGGATCTGTGCCAGAAGCTGCAGTGTTCCCCACGGCCCGGACAGCCGCTCACTGAATCCCCTTGTGTCTCAACTTCTGCTGGAGCCACCTGGGCGGGCCTCGGAGCTTGGGGTTTGGGGCAGGCTTGATGGGGGCGGGGCTGAGCCCACACCACAGGGGTCAAACATCAGGCAGCCTGCTCAGAGGACCTCACTCCATGGCTGTGTGACAAGCCATGTGTGACAAGTGACTGGGTCACAAGCCACCCTCTACCCTCTGGGGGCCTCAGGGTAACATTAGAGACAATGTAACCTTCGACCTCAGAGGCTTTCCAACGGATTTTGTCAAAAAGTGAGCCCCCAGTGAAAACGTTTACACTGTAGCCCATCACCCAAGGGAAGTGCCTCTGCCTTCATAGCCCCCCTTGGCTGGGTCCAGCGTCCCCAGGGATGGTGTGGCCCACTTTGGGACCCACTGACCTACCTCATGGGGCTGTGTGTGTGTGTGTGTGGGGGGGGGG